GCACAACGTAATAAAAGCTCCACTCACCCCTGGGGCAGAGTCCATCCCTTGTTTATGCGTTTTACCCACAATCACCCCCCCCTACCACCAGCCCACCATCACCCCCCCCCTCACCACCAGCCCACCATCCCCCCCCCCCTCACCACCAGCCACCATCACCCCCCCTCACCACCAGCCCACCATCACCCCCCCCCCCTCACCACCAGCCCACCATCACCCCCCCCCCCACCACCAGCCCACCATCACCCCCCCCCTCACCACCAGCCCACCATCACCCCCCCCTCACCACCAGCCCACCATCACCCCCCCCTCACCACCAGCCCACCATCACCCCCCCCACCACCAGCCACCATCACCCCCCCCCCTCACCACCAGCCCACCATCACCCCCCCCCACCACCAGCCCACCATCACCCCCCCCCTCACCACCAGCCCACCATCACCCCCCCCCCACCACCAGCCCACCATCACCCCCCCCCCCACCACCAGCCCACCATCACCCCCCCCCACCACCAGCCCACCATCACCCCCCCCCCTCACCACCAGCCCACCATCACCCCCCCCCTCACCACCAGCCACCATCACCCCCCCCCTCACCACCAGCCCACCATCACCCCCCCCCCACCACCAGCCCACCATCACCCCCCCCTCACCACCAGCCCACCATCACCCCCCCCCTCACCACCAGCCCACCATCACCCCCCCCCACCACCAGCCCACCATCACCCCCCCCTCACCACCAGCCCACCATCACCCCCCCCTCACACCAGCCCACCATCACCCCCCCCCACCACCAGCCCACCATCACCCCCCCCCCCCCCCCCCCCCCCCCTCACCACCAGCCCACCATCACCCCCCCCTCACCACCAGCCCACCATCACCCCCCCCCCTCACCACCAGCCCACCATCACCCCCCCCCTCACCACCAGCCCACCATCACCCCCCACCACCCCTCCCCCCCTCACCACCAGCCCACCATCACCCCCCCCCCCTCACCACCAGCCCACCATCACCCCCTCCCCCCCCCACCACCAGCCCACCATCACCCCCCCCCCTCCCCTCCCGGGCCAGTGCCCCGCCAACACTGCGCAGTGCCCTGAGCCGGACTCATACGGCTCTGGGTCTTAGCCTGGTTTACCTGGGCTGGGGGCTGGGGCGCTGGGGGTTGGGGGGCTGTGGTTGGGGGCTGTGGGGGTTGGGGGCGCTGGGGGGTTGGGGGCTGTGGTTGGGGGTTGGGGGCTGTGGTTGGGGGCTGGGGGATGGGGTTGGGGGCTGTGGTTGGGGGGTTGGGGGCTGTGGTTGGGGGCTGTGGTTGGGGGGGTTGGGGCTGTGGGGGCTGTGGTTGGGGGGCTGGGGGGTTGGGGGCTGTGGTTGGGGGCAGGGCTGGGGCGCTGGGGGTTGGGGGGCAATCTGCTGAAAAAATATATATCCTCGGCTAATCACAATTTACAAAGGACAGACAGCAGAGAAAATTCAAGCAAATCATATATATATATATATATTTGCACACACACATATGTGTGTGTAAATATGTTGTGAAATGCATGAATTGGTGCAAGAAAGATTTCTCATGTTTTGCAGTAGAGTTTATCCCTTTCCAAACACCACAAAGCGCTTCCCAAGTACTTATTGTCAGTAAACAAAGATTATTTTTTTTTTAAAAAAGGCGAACACCACAGACATTTAAATGCCCATCAAAAGCCCATCATCAGCCACAAAGTGAACCACAAATTAATTGTGTTTTTTTTGGGGGGGGGTGGGGGGGGGGTGTTGTTGTTGGACAGGCCACTTGCATTTCATATTTCTATTTCTCGGCATCTATTGGTGTATGTGTACACCACATCTAAAGCAATCGGATGCACCTAGATTTTGAAAGGGAGAGCAATTTTTCAAGC